CGTGCGGTAAATCGAGATGGTCTGCGCTTCGATACGAATACGATAAATTGTGAAAAATATATATTTGGCCTCGAAAATAATGGAAAAATAATCGTGCTTCACGCAAAACATGATGTCATGTCGCTTCCGGTGCAGAATGGGTTAGAATGGTCTCAGGCAACATATGCCTGTCGTACGAGGCGACTTCATTGATCGGGTGGTCAGGCTCGTTGACTTGATTGATTGACTCTTAATATCAATCAGTTGTTTGTCCAGACCTAATCATCAACAGGCCGCGGTCAAAAAGTTTAAATATTGCTCAGTACTGTGCTAAACAAAACACACACTGTCGATATTTTACTGCCGCATCATCTATCTATGCTCGCATTTTCATGGTATGGTTAAACGCCGCTTTAGTATAATTATTCCAACATTCATGTCACAACATGAACAGAAGAAAAACAACACATTTATAACCTTATGAATAAAACAAAGGTTAGTCAGATTTTATCTGCATTTATTATTGTTGTTTACGAGTATTTCTGATCGAACAAAGAAAATATTGCACTGACAATAATTTCATGGATTTTCCCCTGTAAAGCAATGATATCAACAAAATCCCACCAATATATTTCAAACTACAGCTAGTTCGATGTTAGATTTTAGACCTCATATACCACCTTGATTTATAAGCACCTTAAATCAGTTTCCTCTTGTTTCGGATAACTTTTTCCCGACGGACCGTTGTTCATGCTATCAACCAATGGTTTGTATAGGCCAGGCACCATCGTCTCCAGGATGTTGTGATATACTTGAACCATTGTTGACTGAGGCGTAAAAGAGCCCTCACTCACTCACATTTCATCTTATTTGCTGGTGTATATACATACTGGGAAAATGTTAGATATGATGAATATTTTGGGGGATATTGTTTTGTAGTAAAGACTGGGCACACAATTTCATAAATATTTTTCCAAAAAATATTCATGATCCCTAACTTTTTCTGTTTGCTATACATGTATATTTGAAATGTGTGACAGTGTTCGTGTATAAAGTATTTTTCTAAATAATGTGTCTGACGATGTCGGATATGGTTGGTTGGTTTGTTGTTTAACGCCGTAATCAGCAATATCCCAGCTATATGACGGAGGGATGTCGGATATGACGTCACTAACGTTTATGACCCGTGAAGATCCCGGGGTAGAATAGGTCTTCAGCAACCCATGCTTGTCGTAAAGGGTGACTATGCTTGTCGTAAGAGGCGACTAACGGGATCGGGTGGTCAGGCTCGCTGACTTGGTTGATCAATGTCATCGATCCCAATTCCGTGAATCGATGCTCATGATATTAATCACTGGATTGTCTGGTCCAGACTCGATTATTTACAGACCGCCGTCATATAGCTGGAACATTGCTGAGTGCGGCGTTAAACAACAAACAAACAACAACAACAACATGACATCAGGTAAAAGCCAAATGATCCACATACAATCTGGAGGCTGCAATTTGATGGACAAGAAACAATTCAAGAACTCTTCCGACAAATACGAAAAGACCGAAGTTTGATATTAAATTTTGCATAAGGGCAATCAAATGTGTAAACTTGTCAATGTTCCACTGAGGTAAACGTGCAGTTTCTCTCCATCAACAATGATGTTGACACTTGGCTGAGACATACAGGGAAAAAAGCAGGATCGGCTGAGACGACGCTCAATGAGATACATCGTGTCAAGTGGCTGTGCAGAGTTGCCTCCCTCTACATGGATTTACTGGTCTGCTGGTTCAAATCGAATTTTCGACCTGACTGTGATCCATGTTGTTTGTCTGTTGTTTAACGCCGCACTCAGCAATATATCACAGCTATATGACGGCGGTCTGTAAATAATCGAGTTTGGACCAGACAATCCAGTGATAGACATCATGAGCATCGATCCACGCAATTGGGATACGATGACATGCATCAACCAAGTCAGCGAGCCTAAGATACATCAAGGCACTCGCAGTATTTATGTCTCCCCCAGAATGGAGGGAGACATATTGTTTTTGGCACGGTTCCCGTCGGCGTCGGCGTTGGCGTCGGCGTCGGCGTCGGCGTCGGCGTCGGCGTTCCCACTGTTTCCGGACCATAACTCAGAAACCATTTAATATTTTTTCGCGAAACTTTGTATACACATTAACCCAGCACTGAAGTGGTGCCTTTTGCTATTTAGAGATTTCTGACATTTTTATTTTTTCTCGTTTCCATGGAGATAAGTTGAACATAGACTCTGAATGGGGGTAAGCTTGGTTTCCGGACCATAACTCGGAAACCGTTTAATATTTTTTCGCGAAACTTTGTATACACATTAACCCAGCACTGAAGTGGTGCCTTTTGCTATTTAGAGATTTTTGACATTTTTATTTTTTCTCGTTTCCATGGAGATAAGTTGAACATAGACTCTGAATGGGGGTAAGCTTTGTTTCCGGACCATAACTCAAAAACTGTTCAATATTATTTCATTAAATTGTAACATATTAACCAAGTCCTGAAGAGGTGCTTCTTGCTATTTAGAAGTTTTTCACATTTTATTTTTTCTTGTTTATCGAGACAAGTTTAACTTAGACTCCTTATTGGGATGGGCTTTGTTCCAGAACTAAACTCAACACCCCTTCAATATTTCTGTGTCTTTTGCTTATAATGAAATTTAAGAATTTGATCTTTTCAATATTATTGAATTCAAAGCAATTCTAGAATTAAAATATTGTGAATTATTTTTTTGGGAATGAACAGATGGGGTTTAACGTGAAGTAAACGAATGAATGGGGGTTAGGGGAGTGGGGGGAGACATATGTTTTTACGAGTAAAAACACTTTCTAGTTTATCCATGATACTGTTCAAATTACTTCCCCGTGGTCTAACGTATCCAGAGAGAGAGAGAGAGAGAGAGAGAGAGAGAGAGAGAGAGAGACGTATACAAACAGTCACACCTTGTTAACTCGATTACTCGATTATTTTTTATACAGGTCACCGTGATATGGATGCATTTGTTTTTCTACTTTGCTATTTCCAGCAAAGCATACAACACAACTCCATGTCAACAGTGGCAGTGCGACCCATCTTGTTTTTCTACTTTGTTATGTCCAACATTTCCGACGGAATCGGACGGGTCTCTGCAACCACCGGTATCAGGCCAGGAGCCCATAGCAACCACTCCATGTCAACACTGGCAGTCTACCCACGGTCAAATGGTAAAACCTTAAGGCTAAGAAATACCCCTGCTAGAAAAGCAGTAAGCAACCGCCCCCAGCGACGGAATCAGACGGGACCCCTGCAGCCACTGCATGATATCCGACCAAGAGCTCTCAACAAACATTCCATGTCAAAACTGGCAGTCTTCCCAGTGTCAATAGATTACAAAGTAGACACATTTTATGGATATCTGTATTTACTTTAAAGGCGACGTTTCGGTATAGATCCTAATAGCGTCGTCAAGTAAGGTGTAAGGATGACAATAACGGTATGGGGATATATACCGGAACGTCCCCTTTACAGTAAATAAATAAGTTGTTGTCCATAATTTGTGCCTACTTTATAATCCGCCAACTTCATGGTAATGCCTATCAAACAACTTGTCAAGGATGAGCAATAGTCACGATAAGATATGCAATAAGAAAGGCCCTGTCAGCCGTGGTCCGACTGACCAAAACAGTGATGTAAACATCAGTAACTAGTTGAGACCTCTGTATATGTATATACACTCTCGGTGACTCTGTTTTGAGCAGGAGAAAGTCGAACGAACCTCACGAACGAAACTAATCGCGGGATTTGGGATTGCACCAACACCTGTCACTGATCTCATTATAATAAGATCTTAGTGCTCGCTACCGCTACACAAAGATCTGAGGACATCCCATTACAGGTCACGTCGGAACGACCTTTCCCGAACTTCGACCGACTCATGAATCGGCAACATTCGTGACCAACTCGTGTTATTCCGTGACAAGCCGAATGGCGACTCGTGCCTCTCGCCTGTCCATTTTTGCGACCGGGTTCCGTCTTAGCGCAACGGGCATACCTAAAACAATTGTCAACTCGTTGCGTAATGGTTCACATATATTTCCCTATATATTTTATATATTTCAGATACAATTTAAAGCACATCTAGACATGCGGAATTACACAGTATGATGGGACTCATTTAATTGTGTCTTGGGTATATTTTTAGATGCAAGACATATGTAAACTCAGAAATTATTTCCGAGGGAGTCTTTAACGAAGAAATTGAAGTCATTCGCACATTCTGATTGGTTTGTCGTATTTTCGCACATAACATTCATCGATAGGGAGACGAGTCTTCTTGCAGGTTACGGAAAGGGGCGAGTGGTGACGGATAGAATCGGTACAAATTTCAAATCTCGGCTTCTGTTCCAAACTACGCTTTGAAAAACATTTTGACAAAGTTCAGGATTCAAAATTTGAAAACTGAACAAAAGATAATTATTGAAAGTTCAACAGATGACCGAGAATGAGTGGAAGAACTTCCCACATGCTATGGAAAGACATCACGAACATCGATCTACGCAGTTGGGATACGATGACAATACCCAAGTGGTCACTTTGTCTGAATGACCCGTGAAGATCCGGGGTAAAATAGGTCTTCAGCAACCCATACTTGCGGCGTTAAACAACAAACCATTCCGTGGATCGATGCTCATGATGTCAATCACTGGATTATTTGGCCCTGACTATTTACGGACCGCCGTCATATAGCTGGAATATTGCTGAGTGCAGCGTTAAACAACAAACAAATAAAACAACTTAGTCTAAATACGCCACGGACTACATACTTTCACAGGGAAAAGACTTATCTAAAGACATACAATGATTTAAGATAAGTCTATAATATTATACCGCTTACAATGGTATTGCACTGAGAGCATGTTTTTGACTAATTAAAGACGATTGTTATTTAAGGATTAGTGTAATCCCACCTCACTGTATATATTGTGCAGTAAATGTGCTTATCATAATGCCTATTGGTTATTGATGAACCCATTTTGGTGGGTTATAAGCCATATTACAGACCACCAGCTTAGCCGCACAAGTATATAAAGTCAAGGTCAGTTTACGAGCTGACATTGTCAACGGAGAACAGCCAGGTGAGTGTGCTTTCTGATGTTTCTGTCAAACAACGTTTGTTTTATTTACAATGCAACGATAATAACCCGAAGTTCTACAGACCATGGGAAATTTTAATACACTGACGGACCAAAGAAAGTATACACACGTTTGATCGGAACTAACATGAAAACAAACAAGAAATAGTAATTCGATCGTGATGTAATTGATACAGGTATCATATTTGTGTTTTCGACATTAGGTTTGCGTTGTTTCAGCAACTGTTTTCAGCGTAGTAACGTTTTGATAACGTTTGTAATATTTTGGTCAAAACCTGTTAACAAGAGTATACATTCTTTTGATATACACGTAGTTCAAGCCAAACGGAAAACCAATGGCATATATGATCAAATGAGAGTCCACTGTAAATGTGTGATATAAAAACACACTTCTAAATGTGGAAATTATGAAAGATTAAGATATTGGTAATTAAATGTCAACGTTAATGCACTTTGGATCCATACAGTGGGCCTATCCGACATGAACATGATTAATTAGGAGCCCTTCAGGAGAGTAAAGAACTTTTATAGATAAATGACAACTCGCATTTTTAATATAAAAATATTTATATTTATCCGTTATATTTACTTATCTATTAACATTATATTAACTTATAATGAATTACTGTATTTCCTCGAATAAACGCCCGGGCGTACATTTCTTTCAGGCACCCCATACCCCCGGCGTTTAATAGCAAAGACGAAATAATGGGGAAAACTCTACCCGGTGCTTAATGGAGGCGTTTATTTGAGCACCCGCGTTTAATCGAGGAAATTCGGTATGCGAAATGTTTTAACACACAATGTAAACAATAACTATGTTTTCTTTCAGATTCATTGCTATTTGTTTAAGCAATGGGTACTTTCGTTGACGAAGTCGTGCAATGTCACAATCTTGTACGAACAAAACATGGCGTAAAGGAACTGAAACTCAACGCAGATTTAACTGCCCATGCGCAGAAATGGGCAGACAAGCTAGCTAGTTCCGGCAAATTTGAACATAGCAATTGTGACTTCAGTGGTGAAAATGTTGGAGAAAATATAGCCATGGCGTGGAAACCTGGTGGACAGACTCTAAGTGGTAAGTTGATAGCGTAAAATATTTATTATGACATATTTCTCCAAAGTCATAAAGGAGGCATAAAGGCGAATCTCTAACCGTTAGCATTAAAGTGTAAATAATAGTATTTGACGTCTATTACACCATCAGACCGAAGATCCGGGGTAGAATAGGTCTTCAGCAACCCATGCTTGCCGTAAAAGGCGACTATGCTTGTCGTAAGAGGCGACTAACGGGATCGGGCGGTCAGTCTCGCTGACCTGGTTAATGGATGTCATCGTATCCCAATTGCGTAGATCGATGATCATGATGTCCATCACTCGACTGTCTGGTCCAGACCGTTTATTTACAGACCGCCGTGATATAGCTGAGTGCGGCGTTAAACAACAAACAAACAAAACTATTACACTATTATGATGATGTCACGATACGCACGCGATATTGGTCTTGTAATCGAATATGAGCCAGGAAATCACAGGCTATTATGAACGTACATTTTAAACAAGTAAAACTGACGCAACTATGGGTCATAATGCAAAATTGTAGAGAAATTGTGTTTAAACCACAACATGAGCTCTAAGTCAGAGAAATCTTTTGATCATAAAAGTAGAATCAATTCTCGGAATCAGCGAATTCTCGTGATTTCTCCATTACATATTGAACCAGATATGGATAAAACGTCCAGTAAGAATAACACATGTCTAACGTTTACAGTTCTTTGGTGTTGCCCTGCCAAGACAAACATACCGTGCCTTAGAAACCAGATTCGTAAAGATCCGGGTTAAAACTAGTCTTCAGCAACCCTTGCTTGTCGCAACGACGGATTGATGCTCATAATGTCAATCACTGGTTTGTCTGGTTCAGACTCGATTAATTACAAAACCGCCGTCATATGGACGCTGGACTGCGGCTGAGTGCTGCGTTAAACAAGAAACAAACAAAAACACCAGATTCACATAAATCATGATACTCGTTGTTTAATCCATACGGTCCTCCATCACTTTGGGCTTTCCTTTAACGTTGAAAGGTTGGTTGGTTTGTTGTTTTACGCCGCACTCAGCAATATTCCAGCTATATGACGGCGGTCTGTAAATAATCGAGTCTGGACCAGACAATCCAGTGATTGATATCATGAGCATCGATCCGCGCAATTTGGATCGATGACATGCATCAACCAAGTCAGCGAGCCTGACCACCCGATCCCGTTAGTCGCCTCTTACGACAAGCATTGTCGCCTTTTACTACAAGCATGGGTTGCTGAAGACCTATTCTGCCAAGAATCTTCACGGGTATAACGTTGAGAAGACACACTGCTCCAAACAGTATTAAACCTAATTCAGTCACTCTGATCAATACAATATTTGTTTCAGGAAAGGAAGCCTGCGATATGTGGTACAGTGAAATAAGCAAATACGATTACAACAAAGCTGGCTTCTCAAGCGGAACGGGTAAGTAGGTTGTTGATTAACGCAGCGCTGTTCCCTCAGCATAAGTCCTGCGAAATGATGTCGGATGTAAATAAGTCTGGACTAGACAAACCATGGATGCAATTAGGTGAATGCCCCATGTCGTCGGGGTACAATGACATGGAATCAACCAAGTCACGGAGTTCCCCTCTGGCGACCAATATTGGTTGAGAACTAAGTCTAACATGGAACAGAATGAAATATGTTTGTCCTTGTAAACCGCAGGGCAGAATTAATCCCCAGTAATAATGAGAGTCGGGTATCAGTGTCAACCTTACTGAGGGTCTGTCATCGTTCTCCGACAGCATGGATAGTTTCTCTGCCTGTCCAAGATTCAGTTGATAAGAGACGCTCGTGCTATAGAAAGAGTAGTGCTGATTGTTGCGTAAAACAGGATTCACTCAATATTTAAACTCTTTTTTTGAAATGTGGAGAGTTACCAATTCCTCTATTAGACGCCCGGGCTTCTATTTATTTCGGACAAGCCTTTGACCCGGCGTCAATAAGAGGCCCGGCTTCTATTAATACCCCCATTTCACTATGACCACGAATATCCCGAATCGTCACGAAATGGAAATATTTTGTGTTCGTAGATATCCGTAGATATATCTCAATCAATTCTCGAAGTCCGTCTATTAGAGGCCCGGCTTCTATTTCTTGCACTGAAAAATCGACCCGGCCCCTTTTAGAGTCCCGGCGTCTAAAAGAGGAAAAACGGTATCTTGTTTGTTTGTTTGTTGTTTAACGCCGCACTCAGCAATATTCCAGCTATATGACGGCGGTCTGTAAATAATCGCGTCTGGACCAAACAATCCAGTGATTCACATCATGAGCATCGATCCACGCAATTGGGATACGGTGACAGGCATCAACCAAATCAGCGAGCCTACCACAACACTAACTTATACAATCATGCATCTTAAATGCATGGATAACGAAAATGTCAGTTTTGACGAATAATCGGTCATCTGAGGCGACGTTATTAGCCGAGCGACCTAGAATCATATGATCGCGTGTTCGGATCCCAGATTCGCCACGATATTTCCAGGGTTTGTTTTTGTTTGTTGTTTAATGCCGCAATTATTGTTTTGTTGCAAAATCGTTTTTTGTTTGCATTTATTCAATATTTTCAATGATAGTCAGTGCCGCACGGGAACATGTTTTCTCCAGGACAGTATAAACGTGTACTTTGAGGATTTCTTCTCATGTTGTTTGTTGTTTAACGCCGCACCCAGCAATATTCCAGCTTCATGACGGCGGTCTGTATATAACTGAGTCCTTACCAGACAATCCAGTCATTAATATCATGAGCATCGATCCACGCAAGTGGGATACGATGACATGCATCAACCAAGTCAGCGCCAAGAGTCGCCTCTCTAGACAAGCATATGGGTTGTTGAAGATGAAATCTAACCCGGGTCTGTTTCTAGGTGGGTCAGCATCATTCCCATTGTTGTGAATTACACAACCAAGGGGTAAATGTAATGTAGAAGAACTGCATCACTTTGGGCTAACATCTCGCCGTGATAAACATGTACACTCCCAAATTATTGAGTTCGAGACAACCGGGAATTCGACACATCCGAGTATGTATGATCAATATAGAAGAATCCAAAAGCACTGGAAGGTGAGTTCGACAGAACCGAGAATTCGATAAATCCAAGTTCGACACAACGAGGATCGACTGAAGCTGAAATATTGTTCCAAATGTCGTCAAATCCAACACAGTTCACCAGGGGTGATGACGTGATGTGTTTGTGACACTCCACCTGAAATTTAAGCATAGTTTATTAAAATTAGTGATTGTATATTTCAGGTCACTTCACACAAATGGTATGGAAGGGGAGCAATGAACTCGGTGTCGGTATCGCTAAGGGTGACGACGGGAAGATATACGTTGTAGCCAACTATCTTCCACCAGGCAACTACACGGGGCAATTCCAGGACAATGTATTTCCACCAAAATAAGTGGTTTTGATTTGAATAAATATCGTTACAGGATTTTTTGACATATCCTTGTTGTATGTTCCCGTTATCATAAATATGTGCGAAAAGTTTTGTTTCTTTGTTGTTTAACGCCGCACTCGGCAATATTCCAACTATATGACGGCGGTCTGTAAATAATCGATTCTGGACCAGACCATCCAGTGATTGATATCATGAGCAAGGATCCTCGCAATTGGGATCGATGACATGCATCAACCACGTCAGCGAGCCTGACCACCCGATCCCGTTAGTCGCCTCTAACGACAAGTATAGTCGCCATTTACGGCAAGCATGGGTTGCTGAAGACCTATTCTATCCCGGAATCTTCACGGGTTTACCATTTGTTGCTCGAAATCAACGGTTGTACTCCTACTCTTTCGGGAATCATATCTTTCAATTGGCATGGTTGTAGGTCTTTCAAACTTTCAAACTTTTCCTTGAAACTACGTTCATTAACTAAACTCCGTACACCGTGTCACAGTTGGTTGGTTGATTTGTTGTTTAACGACGCACTCAGCAATATTCCAGCTATATGACGTCGGTCTGTAAATAATCCAGTCTGGACCAAACAATCCAGTGACCAAACAACCCAATTGGGATCGATGACATGCATCAACCAAGTCAGCGAGCCTGACCACCCGATCCCGTTAGTCGCCTTGTACGGCAAGCATGGGTTACAGGCGGGGCAGGATACGCTCAGCTTTTCGCGAGCACCTAGTATCATCACTATGTAATAGTGATTCATAAACGCAAGCTCGTGGTATAAATAGTTGCAATCGTACAAAGGGATCTACTTTCATCGTATGATTATGAATGGATTTTGTCGCTTTTATTGGAATCACACCGAGTCGTAGAAGCTGTCGTAAAATCTTATATACTTAGCGATTCATGAACTATATATCATGCGGATACCATGAAGCCGTACAGAATAAAGCCACAAAAATGAGTGAGTATGGTTTTACGCCGCTTTTAGCAATATTCCAGCAATATCACGGCGGGGACACCAGAAATGGGTTTCACACATTGTACCCATGTTGGGAATCGAGCACGGGTCCTCGGCGTGACGATCCCGTTAGTCGCCTTTTACGACAAGCATAGTCGCCTTTTTACAGCAAGCATGTGTTGCTGAAGACCTATTCTACCCCGGAATCTTCACGGGACTGTGGTCTGGCTCCATGTGGTAAAAGGCGACTAACGGGATCGGGTGGACAGGCTCGCTGACTTGGTTGATGCATGTCATCGATCCCAATTTCGTGGATCGATGCTCATGATATTAATCACTGGATTGTCTGGTCCAGACTCAATTATTTACAGACCGCCTTCATATAGCTGTAATATTGCTGAGTGCGGCGTTAAACAACAAACAAAAGTTAGTAACTTTACTCATCAGCTTGTGTTTTGTATCTTGTGCCAATTGTATTGTAGATCTATGTATTTTATAGCAATAACATTCAAATACTGTTCTGATAACGTGACCAGTGAAGATCCGGGGTAGAAAAGGTCTTCAACAACCCATGCTTGCCGTAAGAGGCGACTAACGGGATCGGGTTGTCTGGTTCGCTGACTTGGTTGATGCAAGTCATCGTATCCCAACTGCGTAGATCGATGCTCATGAATATTGCCGAGCGCGGCGTCAAACAACAAACAAAAGCGTAATAACGTACTTGGTTTGACAAACGGCCATCATGGTGGGCACACGTGTGTTTCAAAGGGTATTTCACACATGTACGTCAGTGCAACGATGGGGTTCACACTCTTCCAGCCGCTTTCACATGATGCTAGATTAACCCTGGAAGACGTTGCCGTTGTATGTGAAGGCTGCCAAGGGGTGTACGTAATTTCGTCTCCCTCCGACCACCAGAAGGTATCGTTGCTCACATCCCAATATCCGCCAATCCAGAAACATCCTGAGGGGAACAAAGGCAAACTTTGGTTAAATATAAAACGCCAACGCCAGAGAATAGTCAGTCTCGATTATATCCACCGAAACAAATTCCATTGCGCGTAAGCAAAATAACAATGAAAATTCTCTTACTGGATAATTGAAACTCAGTGATGGCTTGGTTGATGCATGTCATCGTATTCCAACTGCGTGGGACCCGTGAAGATTCCGGGGTAGAAGAGGTCTTCAGCAACCCATGCTTGCCGTAAAAGGCAGCTATGCTTGTCGTAAGAGGCGAGTAACGGGATCGGGTGGTCAGGTTCGCTGACTTGGTTGATGCATGTCATCGTATCCCAATTGCGTGGATCGATTCTCATTATATCAATCACTGGATTGTCTGGTCCAGACTCGATTATTTACAGACCGCCGTCATATGAGTGAGTGAGTTAAAATTTAACGTCGCATCGGCATTATCTCAGCCATATAGCGACGAGACCAAGTTAATATATTTTACAATTTAGTCGTTGATGCAAAGTTTTGTTTAAAAACAAGTTGTAAAACATATTTGAGCATTCTATATTTAGAAATAATTCACGAAACATATTTGAGCATAACAATATTATATATACAGTTATAAAACACGGGCTATAGGCCACCAGTTACCAAAGCTAGGCCACCAGTTACCAAAGCTAGGCCACCTCACTGGGGACCATGGGGACTTACAGTACCTCTGCTTCCTGCATGATACCCAGGCAGGATTTACGTCATCACTTTAGCCACTGGTGATTGTGCACAATGCTAGCCAATATTAAAAAATACTCATCAATGAGTTGGCTTAAAAACACTGGTTGATGATAGTTACATTGATTATGATAGGATTACGTGTCACACAGGGGGGCAATATTTTTACGGTACTTTAACCTCCTGGACAGAGCCTTCAATAATGTCTGTTAATAGTAGCATCAGACCAAAATTAAAAACAAGCATTTAATTATTCACATACATATTTAAAATTTATTCTACAGACCAATTTCTTTCAAGTAATTTATGATGAGATGCCCGCTGACACGGGAAAAGAGATCTAGTAGATTTACACTTTGATAATGTGAATCCCTTGCGATTGCAAAGTCCACACAGTCAAGCAATATATGCTTGACGGTGAACCTTTCATCATAAGGGATACACTTAGGAGGTTCGTCCTCATGTCTTAAGCAGATATTCGTGTGTAAACCGACTGTGGCCAATACGACATCGTCGTAAAATGACCTCGTCATGTCTTGACTGACAACCTAAGTAGGTATGACCGATTGTTGGTTTCAATTCGTGTAGTTTATTGCTTCCTACTTGGGTGTCCCATCTCTTTTACGTGAGATCCCTAAATGAGTAGGTGTTATACTGTTTTGAGATATCTTTATTCGACATCACAAATGATGGAGATCTGGAACACAGAACAGGAAACATAACTTAATGTAACACATGATTCTATAATGTAAATGTACATAATCCTCTATCCCTAACCAAGTCATTGGTAGATCTTGCAAAAGGTATGACAAGGACTAAATAAGGTAGTCAAGTCTTGACTGAGTTTTAAATGAACTGAAATGTCTTCAAGTGTGTTGATGTCATATATTATGAATGTTCCAATCCTCCATATCTATGGAAAGGAAGGATGACGGGAATGTCATGTACATGTAACACATGCATGTCTGATAATCTTTTTCAGATTTACAGCCTTACAGTTCAGGGGTTATTCCACCCAAATAGCATGAATATAGTCACTAAGCCACGAGGGTGCAATCTTTCTCCGAGTGGAACGTCTGGGTTCAACCTCCACTGGAGCAGGACATGGGGTTGGTAGCGTTCTTGTATTTGGTGTTGTTGTCAACGACGGTGCGGCAGGTTGTTGAGGAGCAACAGCCTGGTGTTGAAAGCTTGGCGGTTCCGATGACACGTCTGAAGGACTCATAGTAGTCGTTGCTGGCACAGCTGAGGATGATGGTTCCATCAAGTTTAATTCCTTCTGCGAGGGGGCAACAGGCTTATTACTGTTGGCATTGCTGGAATTTGCGCAGGCCTTCTGCAAGAAAGGACGGTATTGTGTACCATTGAGACGAGCTGGTGTGGTTGAATGGATATGGCCTGGCAAATGATCAGCAACTGTGACTGTTGGTGTGGGTGGATATACAGGAGTGTATTTGCGGAGGAATTTCCTGTTGCGTAGAGTCACTCTGCCTGAGCCATCCACACGTACAACATACTGGTCGTATTGGCGAACTTCGATCACACATCCAGTTTTGTCCCATTTCAGTTGGTAAGGGCCTGTTTGAAATTGTAATTCTCGGTGGCATGACCCATCCCTTTAGAGCCTCATCCATTCCGAAGCTCTGACATTGAAATGTTGGTTCGCTCTGTCCGTGATGCGAACTCATAACAATATTCTCGAAACAGTTGCCACTGCAAATGAAATGCCGGTAGGTAGACCCGTCTTAATCCTAATGTTACATCTCTACAGGAACTCTTTTCCCCGTGACGCACTGAATATCCATGCCGCATCTCACCGATTGGATGTTATCCAGAGCAGTGTGCTGGTCACAAACACATTCGACATTGTTTACAATGTAGGCGGTAGTTTGATCGTTACATACAATAGTGGATGGCCACAGAACAGGAAACATAACTTAATGTAACACATGATTCTATAATGTAAATGTACATAATCCTCTAATCCCGAGTATAAGATTTGATGGTTGGTTTGAAATCACTGTACGGGATCAGAAGTGGAGATAACGGTTTGTCAAGAGCTGCTTTAGCTGCAGCATCGGCTATTGTGTTACCTGTTATGCCTACATACGTCACATTGGTCATTTGAAAGATCATTACAGAGTTCTAAAATGTCAAGGATAATAGGGTGCAATGGTGAGACACTTTTAAGTGACTGAAGGCAAGATAACGAATCAGAGAAGATGATGAATTTTTTAGATTGGTTTTGTTGTTGAATCTATATAGGTCAAAGCTGTTAGGATAGCTTTGGCCTCAGCAGTAAAAATTGAACTAAAATCTGGGATTCTTGAGAAGACAGTTCTGGATCCAGTGATGGTGGCACTTGCAACTTTGCCACCATCCTTGGACCCGTCTGTAATTTGGAGAATTATATTTGGAGCGTAATTGATATACCAAAGGATTGGTATCCGACTTTTTTAGATTGGTCAGAGTGAGGTCTACTTCTGGCATTTTACCATCTGCCAGGGTTGGTTTGTTATTTAACGCCGCACTCAGCAATATTCCAGCTATATGACGGCGGTCTGTAAATAATCGAGTCTGGACCAGACAATCCAGTGATTGATATCATGAGCATCGATCCACGCAATTGGGATCGATGACATGCATCTACCAAGTCAGCGAGCCTGACCACCCGATCCCGTTAGTCGCCTTTTACGACAAGCATAGTCACCTTTTACGGCAAACATGGGTTGCTGAAGACCTAGTCTACCCCGGAATCTTCACGGGTCTAGGAGAAGACGGTAAGGTGATATAATATTTAGAAAAAGGTTTTCATACTGAGGGTGGAAAACACAATTGTATGCAGGATTAGATTTATTTGAGTGCAATTTAGTGATATATTGCAGTGAAAGTTTAATGCGGCGCAGTTCGAGTGAATGTTCAATCTGCCTCCACATACAAACTGTCGACAGGAGAGGTCCTAAAAATCCAAGACAGAGTCTTAGACATTAATGGTGTATAGTGTCCAATTTTTCTAAATTGCTTTTGTATTCGTAGGCTCCACCATAGATAATGGAACCATAGTCTAGTTTGGAGCGTATTAACGATCTGTACAAGTGAAGGAGGGTGGTCTGATCCCCTCCCCACTCGGAATTTTAAACGCCTTTTAATAAGTCGAGAGCCTTCAGGCACTTTGCCTTGAGATATTTAATGTGTGGTAAGAATGTGAGATGACGGTCAAATATGAGGCCCAGGAATTTGGCCTCCTCTACTACCTTGATAGGAGTACCATCTAAAAATAAATCTGGATCCTTGTGAGGTTTGTATTTACGACAAAAGTGAATGCAGTTTGTTTTGGATTTAGAAAATTTGAAGCCGTTTTCGTTTGCCCATTTTTGAATTTTGTTAAGACAGAGCTGTAGCTGTCTTTCTATTGTATTCATATTCTTACCACGACAAGAAATGTTGAAATCGTCCACAAAAAGTGAACCATCAACGACGCTATTGTTTAATACTTTAGTGAGACTATTAATTTTGATGCTGAAAAGGGTGACTGATAGTATGCTGCCTTGAGGGACGCCCTGGTCTTGATCGAAACGATCAGACAGGGTAGATCCCACTCGTACTTGAAATTGTCTGTTGTATAAAAATTGAGATATGAACTGAGGTAATCTGCCCCTCAATCCAAATTCATGCAAATCTTTTAAAATACCATGTTTCCACGTTGTTACATATGCCTTCTCTAGATCGAAAAAGATTGATACAGTATGTTGTTTGTTTACAATGGAATTTTTAATAAACGATTCTAAAAGCACCAAATTGTCAATGGTACTTCTGTTTTTTCGGAAACCACGCATGATGTCACTCAGGAGGTTATTGGTCTCCAGGTACCAGACTAATCGATTGTTAACCATTCGCTCCATGGTTTTACAAACACAGCTAGTTAATGATATTGGACGGTAGTTGGATGGATCTGTATGATCCCGTCCTGGCTTTGGAATAGGAATAAAAATAGCATTGTGCCACGAACAAGGGAAATTTCCGGTTGTCGATATTTCATCAAATATACTAAGTAACGTTTCCAAACATGAATCCGGCAAGTGTTTCCGGAGCTGATAGTGGATGTTGTCGGCTCCTGCAGCAGTGTCATGAGATTGCACTAGGGCAGTATATAATTCATGGAGTGAAAATGTTTCGTTATAGTCCTCACCATTATCTGAGTTAAAAATTGACTTTTTTCTTTTCTTGCTGTTTTTGAAACCTCTAAAATTGAGGGTTATAGTTTGATGATGAGGAATGGTTTGCTAAAGTGTCACCAAGTTTGTTGGCAATTTCGGATTTAGTAGTTAAAAGTGTATTACCATCTTTGAGATGGTGAACTCCAGATTTGGATCCGTTGCCCTTAATCTTTTGAATCATGTTCCACACCTTGGACATAGGTGTGCGGGAATTAATTTTTGAAATATAGTTCCTCTAGGATTCACGTTTATTCTGTTTAAAGGTACGTCTCGCTTTAGCGCCCGTGATTTTAACGTTATTTCAAATTGTGGACAGTTGGATGTCGTAGGAAATATTTTTCAGCTTTCTTCCTATTTTTCCTGGCTTGTTTACAATTATTATCGAACCATGGTTTACGTATATAAGGGTTTGCAGAGGACTTAGGAATGTTTTCGTCTCCAATAGCAGTAAATATATCTGAAAAAAGTTATGAAAAGGAACATTCCTGAAACTGTCGGGTATTAGTTTTTCAGAACAAAGTGTTTGGAATAATGACCAATTGGCCTTTGTAAAGTTCAACCTTGTTGACGGTGGTTTGTCAGACGGATTAATAGTTGTAAGTACCGTTGGAAAATGGTCGCTTCCACAAAGGTCATCATGGACCGACCATTCAAATTCATTTAAAATATTTGAATCTGTCAGTGAAAGGTCAAGGGCAGAGTATGTGCCAGTGGCGGGATGAAGATATGTATAATTACCATCATTGAAGATGCATAAATTATAGATTTAGAGATAAAATCTTCAAGGACTTTTCCCTTATTATTTGTGTCAGTACTCCCCCATAGGGGATTATGACCGTTTAAATCGCCCATGATGATACAGGGCTTCGGGAGCTGATCGTACCAAGTCTTCCGATCTGATTGACGGATTGTTGAGGAAGGTTTTGGTTTGTTGTTGAATATTGTTGAGTGCGGCGTTAAACAATAAACAAACAGTGATGACACCGGGTGAAAAAATAATGAATAAACCGACCAAGCACAGATCACCAAACAATCTTGGGGCCTCAGAATATCTTAAAGCCGCACATACGTATTTTAACCTCAACAGTATTTTCAGGGTATCCTTTTGGTTGTTGTTTAACGCCGCACTCAGCATTTTCAAGGAATGTTTTGTAAACCGTGAACATATTCTGTAACAATGTTTGGGTTTTTTTCGTTTCAAATTATTCGCAGGGAAAAAAATTAGATGGTTTTAAGCAGTGATAAAAGGGAAATCCTTTCTCTAAGGAAAATCACCAGAATATCAAATTGGCGGTCGGGTAGCCTAGTGGTTAAAGCGTTCGCTCGTCACGCCGAAGACCCGGGTTCGATTCCCGACATGGGTACAATATGTGAAGCCCATTTCTGGGCCCACTTGCACAAAGCGATCCTTGCGCTAAATTGTACTTGGCCCTGGCCCTGGTGTCCCCCGCCGTGATATTGCTGGAATATTGCTAAAAGCGGCGTAAAACATACTCACTCATACTCACTTGATCGATTCCTTTACCTATCGCCACTTGCTAATAAAACAACGGGACTGAACAATCAAAATCAATAGTGATATGTACAGAATACACCCTGTTCTTCCCACGGACCTATTATCAAAGTGGTAGATCTCTTTAAAGTCATTTTTTTAGGAAACATGTTGAAATATGCTTTGTACAGCGCAGTTACCCATAATATGTAGATCGACGAAAATATAAAAAAAATGGAAGGAAAATTTAACTGACTATTAAAAATCTGCAAATTGCATTGGACATGATCGTGCATGGTCTTGTCAGGGTTTAGGTATTGGGTTTGTTGGTTGGTTTGTTGTTTTACGCTGCACTCAGCAATATTCCAGCTATATGACGGCGGTCTGTAAATAATCGAGTCTGGACCAGACAATCCAGTGATTGACATCATGAGCATCGATCCACGCTATTTGGATCGATGACATGTATCAACCAAGTCAGCGAGCCTGACCACCCGATCCTGTTAGTCGCCTTTTACGACAAGCATAGTCGCCTTTTACGGCAAGTATTTAAACAAATGGAACATATGTAAGGCGATCTTAGACTGAGGTAAATGGTATATTTAAAAGAACTTACCAAAGTAAGAATAGACTGAGGTAAATGGTATATTTAAAAGAACTTACCAAAGTAAGAAGAGAACGTGACAATTTGGTGGATGGGTCGACGTGGACGAACAAGCCTTCCGCCGTCCTCCCTACATTTTAGCTCAGCCATGGAACGGTTCGCCGTATGTGGGTGTGTTATTCTCTTCATACAGAACTGGGCGCCTCTAAAATAGGTGTAACCTTTAGCATATGGACAAGCCGCTGAAAACATACGAAAGTGGAACAGTGTCATAAAATTTAATGAGGAAAAAATGAACTGACATTAAAATTGTACTTCACTATATAGATAATCTAATGATGATTGATCATTAAAAGGTTTTATAGGTGTTCGGGCAACTAGGCCCATTTACACCTTGCCCATAATAAAGTTTTGCTAAGTACCTAGATATTTCATAAAGTATCAAAACTGCCACACGCTTTTATATAAGCGAGAATGACATTCTGAACGTCATTGTGAACAATATTCCTAGAACATAAAATTCCCGACAATGGGAAGTCAATATTAAGAACTGTTAGAGACTCAACTACATTATCAAGCTGAATACACACTGTACAATGTGCAGAAATGTCTTTATTAATAACATTTAGATAAGCACCAAGACCACAATGCCCAAGACGAAGTCTGGTTAAGAGAACCTCCTCTCCGATTATTTCTAGATATGTGTAATTTAGTGATAAAAGGATCGATGCCATAAAGATGACGCCTTTTTAAGGATGATGCCCATCTCTGCTGCCATTTTGTTAGATAATCTAAACTACTGGTGTAATTTTGAACTTTGTTATACATAGCTTCCTTTAACCATCAACCAACATATTCAGTCTCTGTTTCATCATGTTATTAGTGTTTCATCATGTTATTAGTGTCTATGTCGGTGGAGAAGGGGTCTCTAAGTTGTAAGAACGTGTCACCAATATATTTCACTTACATGTACACAAGGAAAAAAAATATTTAATCTAACTTGTCATTCACACGGATTCCGTGAAGACCCGTGATAGAACAGGTCTTCAGCAACCCATGCTTGCCGTAAAAGGCGACTATGCTTGTCCTAAGAGGCGACTAACGGGATCGGGTGGTCAGGCTCGCTGACTTCGTTGATGCATGTCATCGATCCCAATTGCATGGATTAATGCTCATGATGTCAATCACTGGATTGTCTGTTCCAGACACGATTATTTCGAGTCTAGTCAGTTTCTAGAATGTAGGGACATATCTGTTTTAAAATGCAGTCCACGCAATTGGGATAGATGACATGAATCAACCAAGTCAGCGAGCCTGACCACCCGATCCCGTTAGTCGCCGTTTACGACAAGCATAGCCGCATTTCACGGCAAGCGTGGGTTGCTGAAGACCTATTCTTACCCGGATCAAAACCCATTTTACTCACTCACTCACTCATCATTGGACATACCATACCTGCAGTGAAGCCGTAATGCTTGACTCCCGAAGCAGCGACTAAGCGGTTTGGTGTAATATGGACCTTTAGAGATGAGAAGCAGAGTTTTTCAACGTCATTATAGAACACTCCAGAACACGTCACGTTCTGGTAGCAGTGGACAAGGCAATCGGCAACGCCGTCGACAACAGTGGCTGGACCAAGGTGATCGTCTACGGACATCTTGTTGGTCAGCATCAGCACGACGCCTAACCCAAACACTTCCATCTTACAGTGATCGAACAAACCCCAACACTCCTATCTCACGTAGGCAACTTGAGATCGACTGGCTGCCAAGCAGTGAATTTCACGGGATCAATACGGTGGGAAGAGTGAACACGATCGAAGTATGTCAGAAACTAAATTATCAACATTAGCTGATGTGATACTCAACGTTCACTTATGTTTGTTTGTTTGTTTTTTGTTGTTTAACGCCGCACTCAGCGATATTCAAGCTATATGACGGCGGTCTATAAATAATCGAGTCTGGACCAGACAATCCAGTGATAGACATCATGAGCATCGATCCACGCAATTGGGATCGATGACATGCATCAAGCAAGTCAACGAGCCTGACCACCCGATCCCGTCGGTCGCTTTTACGACAAGCAAAGTCACCTTTTACGGCAAGCATGGGTTGCTGAAGACCTATTCTACCCCGAGTTCACAACTCCTTTGAGCTTCTTGACATAGAGTAGCTCCATCTTTAGAAACCACGAGCAGTTTGTTTCCCCACATTTGCGTGAGAGATTACCAATTGAGTCACCAATCATTAAATTTAATAATAATTAGGATGATTTACAATTCTTAACTTTAAACATACATTATCAACTCCTGACACACTTACCAGAATCATGTTCACAAACATTATTTTGTATGATTGGTTGGTTGTTTTGTTGTTTAACGCCGCACTCAGCAATATTCCAGCTATATGACGGCGTTCTGTTAATAATCGAGTCTGGACCAGACAATCCAGATATTGACATCATGAGCATCCATCCACGCAATTGGGATACGATGACATGCATCAACCAAGTCAGCGAGCCTGACCACCCGATCCCGTTAGTCGCCTTTTACGACAAGCATAGTCGCCCTTTAGGTTCTACTACACCAAATCAGTACCAGTTTGGAGAGTGCGGTTTTCAGTGCAGATCGAGAGATATCTGCAGGCTGGGATTGGAGGATATTCTGTAAGATTTTTATGTCTTTCAAATGTACATCAATCCAGTTATTAAAACTGACCATGTTTTTCTATATTAAGTACTGTCTTTTTCAACATGATGACTTATGCTGAATGTGACCACAGCTATTTTCAAGTAGGTGACATTTGGTGCGAAACTGGGGGTGGTGTGTTTAGCTTCCGGTACTCGGAAAAGGAGCTGACTAAGCTAGTCATTTTTATTTTTTTTATTGCTGCTCTAAGGCCAAACTGTGCACACACGTACAGGTAATAGCTGTTGAATGCTTAGTTATTTAAAAAAAAATCATAACGTTACTATAGAAGTCTATGGGAAAACATTTGGTTGTGTGTAACCTGTACGGCAAGTATGGGTTGCTGAAGACCTATTCTACCCCGGATCTTCACGGGTCTTATTTTGTATGAAATTTGGACGTCAGGAAAATTTCCTTTTTCACTAAGTTATGCTATAGTTGTCCCAATACCTAAACCCGGACGAGATCTCACCAACCTTTCACATTACCGACCTTGGAACGCTTGAGAATTAATCGATTAGTTTTGTACTTAGAAACTAACAATCTAATTACTAAAACACAAAGAGGTTTCCGGAAAACAGCAGTACCATCGATCATCATGTACATTTGAAATGCTTCGTTTAAAATGCCATCATAAACAAACAACAAGGAGTGTCTGTCTTTATCGATCTAGAAAAAGCATATCGCCATGCATGGAAACACGTTAATTAAAGTTTTGCATTATTTTGGTATGAGAGGCCGTTTGCCACAATGTATCCAAGTTTTTGAGTGACAGGCAATTTCAAGTCCGCGTTGGTTCAACCCTGTCTGATCATTATAATTAGGATCAGGTTGTCCCACAAGGCAGTATTTTGTCTGTCACATTATTTAGCATAAATATTAACAGATTATCAAAGGGTATGAATGATTCAATAGATGGATCGCTTTTTGTGGGAGATTTTAATATTTAAAGAATAAATGCCTGAAGGCATTTAATAAGTTAAGAGTTGTTTCAAATTCAAAGTGGGGAGGGGATCAGAAAACGATACAGAACAATGATCCGCTCTAAACCTGACTAGGGCTCCATCATTTATATAGTGAGGCTTGTAACAGTAATTTTAGCACGTTTAGATCCTATTCACCACCAAGGCCTGGGGCTTTGCCTGAGAGCCTTTAGACCTTCACTGATTCACAGTTTGTTTGTGGAGGGTGATGTGCCGTCCCTTAAACAACGTCGCTTTAAATTATCTTTGCGGTATATAGCCAACTTACATTTTTTTTACTAAAGCCAATCCCTTTTATGACTGTTTTTAATCCTCTTTATGGAGACAACCGTGAAGATACCGGGGTAGAATAGGTCTTCAGCAACCCACGCTTGCCGTAAAAGGTGACTATGCTTGTCGTAAAAAGCGACTAACGGGATCGGGTGGTCAGGCTCGCTGACTTGGTTGAAGCATGTCATCGATCCCAATTGCGTGGATCGATGCTCATGATATTAATCACTGGATTGTCTGGCCCAGACTCGATTATTTACAGACCGCCGTTATATAGCTGGAATATTGCTGAGTGCGGCGTTAAACCAACCAACCAACCAACCACATACACGATGTGGGAGTGTTGCCTGAAATTAAAGATGTGTGTATTCAGAGTCACACCAGTGATGCTGCGGTTGCCTTCACCCCACTACCCGCTGGGTTCGCCGGGGAGGTCGGAAGATACAGTATCCACTTCTTAAACAAACGTATATTGAAGTAGTGAAGACAACTATCGAGCGATCATGAAACTTTGGTTGGTTGGTTTGTTGTTTAACGCAGCAATATTCAAGCTTTATGACAGCGGTCTGTTAATAAACGAGTCTGGACCAGACAATCCAGTGATTGATATCATGAGCATCGATCCACGCAATTTGAATCGATGACATGTATCAACCAAGTCAGCGAGTCTGACCACCCGATCCCGTTAGTCGCCTTTTACGACAAGCATAGTCACCTTTTACGGCAAGCATGGGTTGCTGAAGACCCATTCTACCCCGGAATCTTCACGGGTCCTATAACCTTGGTCTCGTTTAATGGCGTCCGCACTCGCCGTCTTAGACATTTTGTCTCATCGTTTAAAGGCCAAACTTGATAAAATCAGTTTATACATGTTTACTATATCGTTTTGCATTGATGCATTGTGAAAAATGTTGTTGCGACGAAATATCATGTTTACATGACAAATAAAAGAAAAAAAGCATCGTGTTTTCAATGTGGAGTTCCACATGGTTACATGTCGATTTATTCGCGCAAAATTGAAATCGATCCTAGCTTGGCAATATGAAGCAAACAATAAAATCGGATATATGGAGTACTGTTGGAGCACACCTAGTTCGCATGTGTTAGGTTGTTGTGGAGCACGTACAGCCTCAGTAAAACTAGTTCACATCCAATGGAACGTGCTGCTGGAGCAAAACTAGTTCCTATTTATATTATTGCGAAAGTTCATGTTCGAGTTCAATAATATAAAGGAGAACTCAATTTGCTGAGCAGCACGTTCCACTGCAGTATAAGTGAACTACAGTAAACTACGGTTATAACGAACACGCTTATAACGAACTGACCGATATAACGAACTTATTTTTTAGTCCCGGCCTTTTGTTGAATAATGCTGTATATCTGTTTATAACGAACTACGGTTATAACGAACTAAAATTGGTGGTCCCTTTGAGTTCGTTATAACCGTAGTTTACTGTAGTTGTGTTACAGTACGCGTTACAAGTAGTTATCATTTTTAAGTTGAGCATGCCCCGATATTAGTTCTCATTTAGTGCAGTTTAGCATGCAGCACACAATACGTTCTGAAACTATCTCTGCATACCCAGTTCCATTCAGAGGTGAGGTGAAATGGGGCTTAAAGTCGCGTCCAAGATTATTGCACATATATAATGACGTGCATGTACGTGTGTGAGTTTGTGTGGCTGCTTGAATTAGTCCGGACATATGTCGATTTATGGTGCTAGCTCACTGATATACCATGCCGTAGTTTAACATGAATACCCCACTCAGACACAGTATACTGACTCCGAGCCGACCAGTCCTTGTTTTAGCCTCAGACAGAGTAACAACAAGTACCATATTTTAACGTCTTTTGGTATGACGTGGCAGGGGATCGAGCCCCGGACCTTCCGCTCTCCGGGCGGACGCTCCACCACTAGACCACGGAGGCGGTCTGTTCAATTCAGAGTAAAGGATATGTATGGAAAGGCATTTCCGGGTGAGCTACGTCCGCAGCCGTATTCTATTTCGGCAGATCGGGCGTGTACATCCTGCTCGAATCCAAGGAAGTCAATCTGTGGAATAACGGAACCATAGACCAGAATCGCTAACTCCTAGTCATCAATATTAGCTAAATCAAAGCCGTGTCTTAAGTCATTATGATTATTCATAACGTGTGCACATACAGCAGGCTCTGTTGGGCGCAACCACAACGCTGTAGAGCATCATCATGACGCAGGCGGACCTCACTATCATTCTGTATTACGTCACCCTGACATTGTATGAAATCACGTCACTGTATGGAATAACCATGACACTGCAGGACGTCACTGTTATCCTTTGACTTCTGTGTAGGTCATAACATTAGGACGGCATCGTGAGGCTCTTGGCCGTCATTGTGAGACGCCACTGTCACACTGTAAGACCACAGACACTGAGGGATATTAGGACGCTACTGTGACGTCAATGAAGATCGTCACTTTTCGACGCCACTTTTTGACGTCACCGTGACAATGTAACGTTATGACGTCTTTGTAGGACTATGGCACTTTGGGGCATCACTGCAGGACGTAACTTTATGTCATCGTAGAACGTCAGTGTCAGTGGGGTGTACTTGGTTTTACAGCGGAAATTGGCTTGTACACCATAAGACCGAAGTGACTATGTTGCTATATACACATAAATACACTCAAATGAAGTTTGGACTACACACCTCCTTAGGTAGGTACGTGGGTCGATTCCCGGCCGCGTCATACCAAAAGACGTTAAAGAATGGACTGGTCAGCTCGGAGTATACTGTGTCTGACTGTGGTATCCATGTTGAACTGTGGCATGGAATCTCAGTGGGCTTGCACTATAAAACCGGCATAAGTACGGACTGTAGATGATTTTATTTTTTCTTTAACGCCGCACTCAGCAAAATTCCAGCTATATGACGGCGGTCTGTAAATAATCGAGTCTGTCGCTGAAGACCTATTCTACCCCGGATCACTGGATTGTCTGGTCCAGACTCGATTATGTACAGACCGCCGTCATATAGCTGGAATATTGCTGAGTGCGGCGTTGAACAACAAACCAACCAAACCAATCTTACGACAAGTAACGGCTGTTTGGACCAATTCTAACCGGTAATCCTCACGGGGGATTTAATGTTTAAAAAATCACCGAATAGATTTGTGGCCATTAGAAGATAACATTTATTCCTATAAGAATTCAGCAAAATAGAGTTGCTACAAATATTTTTGTGATTAAGCGGATGTTGTCACAAGCTGCTAAGTTTTGAAGTAGCTCATTGTCTTATTATCTTTAACCTGTTCTTGCTTTCATCTCACTGGGTGCAGTTTTCTTTCACTTATTATTTATTGTCGATCGAAGGTTATTTATTAGCCGGTTCTGTGTAGATTTTATGTCTTTTTATTCTGACAAAGAAAACCTACGGGGATTCTGTGAACCACATTTGTCGCTAGGCAACAAACAAACACTTACCTGTTATGCAAATTGTGGGAGTGGCGGGTGCTACCGGTAGGGCAGGACATGCTTACCCTTTTCGCAAACATCTGGTTGGTTGGTTGGTTGGTTGGTTGTTTAACGCCGCACTCAGCAATATTCCAGCTATATGACGGCGGTCTGTAAATAATTGAGTCTGGACCAGACAATCCAGTCATTAATATCATGAGCATCGATCCTCGCAATAGGGATCGATGACATGCATCAACCAAGCCAGCGAGCCTGACCACCCGATCTCGTTAGTCGCCTTTTACGGGATCGGGTGGTCATGCTTGCCGTAAAAGGCGACTATGCTTGTCGTAAAAGGCGACTTACGGGATCAGGTGGTGAGGTTCGCTGACTTGGTTGATGCTTGTCATCGATCCCAATTAAGTGGATCGATGCTCATGTCAATCACTGGATTGTCTGGCCCAGACTCGATTTTTTTACAGACCGTCGTTATATGGCTGGGTGCGGCGTTTAACAACAAATCAATCAATCTTTGTTTCATGAATAAGCAAAGGTTTTGCCTGACTACGTTTATGTCTGTACCTATTAAAAAGGTCATGCAACTTTAAGAAGACTCGTCTATTCAGATGTTTCACATTCTAATGGCACATACATTTCGGATTTGTAATTGATTTAAATGGCATCGCACAATTTACCAATGTAAACTTTGACCTTGGACATCGTTGACATACATCATGGATGTTATGCCTATAAATACAGGATTTCCAAAACTATTATTTGTATGAATGAGAAAGGAATATTATGGCGAAGCAGCCATCGACAATTAACACCTTTTTATCATGGACATTTTGAAGATGTTTTAAAAGATTGATTGATTGATAGTTTGTTGTTTAACGCCTTTTACGACAAGCATAGTCGCCTTTTACGGCAAGCATGGGTTGCTGAAGACCTATTCTACCCCGGATGTACAACCTAACATGACTAGCGGTCTGGTATTTTACATACACCGGGACCAAGTCCATGTATGGCTGCACTCTTTTTACTGAAATACATTTGCCTTAGAAAACACATCTTCTATATACATCACACACACACAGACACACATAAACAAACGGACACACACCTATATGAATCACTGGACATAGTGTCAACTTAACACAAACCTAACGAACCCTAGTCTACAACCACAGAGGACTAATGAAACACGCGACTGCTCCATATGACATGTTTTGACTATAGAAGACCGTGAAGATTCCGGGGTAGAATAGGTCTTCAGCAACCCATGCTTGCCTTAAAAGGCGACTATGCTTGTCGTAAAAGGCGACTAACGGGATCAGGTGGTCAGGCTCGCTGACTTGGTTGAAATACATGTCATCGATCCCAATTGCGCGGATCGATGCTCATGATATCAATCACTGGATTGTCTGGTCGAGACTGGATTATTTACAGACCGCCGTCATATAGCTGGAATATTGCTGAGTGCGGCGTTCAACAACAAACAAACAAACAAACTTACTGAAGCCAACTCTGCGACAGAAATGCCTGGTTAACGTTCCACTGTCTTTTCTAGACAAGGTCAGAATCCGAGCAAGAAGGCCCCACGTTGACGTTATTATACCTCAAAGTTATCGACAGCTGCAGTGGGGTTCAAAACTCCCGAGCCTGTAAATCCCGAGACAACGTATGTCCATTACGACAATCGTTTTTTATTTGCATAAACTGCAACAGCTACAAGAACAAACTGCAGCATCAGCCGATGACAGGTCCGTGGCTCTGTGACTTGCAGGAGGCGAGGTTGGCATGGGGCATCACGATGAACCCAAAGGAACGAGGAGGGATTGTCACTGAACCGGATGTGACTGTCTTCGGTGGGAGAGGGGGAATGACATTATTGGCATAGACGATGGCTTGACCATTCAGTTCCACGACTCTGAAATATGTAATAGCACTGACGATACATTATGTAATTATATGTAATGGCAACTCCAATATCTGCCTCTCTGACATGACTAATATGGCGACTATGCTTGTCGTACGAGGCGACTAACGGGATCGGGTGGTCAGGCTCGCTGACTTGGTTGATGCATGTTATCGATCCCAATTGCGAAGATCGATGCTCATGATATCAATCACTGGTCCAGACTCGATAATTTACAGACCGCAGTCATATAGCTGGAACAGCTGAGTGCGGCGTTAAACAACCAACAAACTAATATGGGATCTAAAGACAGTTTTACAGTGATAATGTTGAACGTTTACCTTCACTTTAATGTAACGTTCACACGTAGTCATACTGTTAATAGGGCCTTGAAATAGCTGGAATATTGTTTACTATCGTTAAAAACATTCACAGGCACATTCATTATACTTACTGGTCAACTAGTTTGAAAGGCCGCCAGGTAGTCTGGCTGTCAGATATTGGTTCGTACGGTCCGATTCACACATGACAAAAGAGACTAGTGAGAATAGCTTCATCCCGTCTTTAGCAACATTTCAGTACGTTCGACCCGTGAAGATCCGGGGTAGAATAGGTCTTCAGCAACCCATACTTGCCGTTAAAGGCGACTAGGCTTGTCGTAAAAGCGACCAACGGGATCGGGTGGTCAGGCTCGTTGACTTACTTGATGCATGTCATCGATCCCAAATGTGTGGATCGATGCTCATGATATTAATCACTGGATTGTCTGGTCCAGACTCGATTATTTACAGACCGCCGTCATATAGCTGGAATATTGCTGTGTGCGGCTTTAAACAACAAACAAACAAACAAATTTCAGTACCTTCACCAAGTGGTCACCAGAAATTGGTTTCTCTCTCACACACACAAGCACCAACACACACACACACACACACACACACACACACACACACACACACACACACACACACGTTTGAAGGATGACGTGAATCTGGTTTACTTTGCCCTGAGGCTGCCATGCTGAGGAGTAAGCCAGAAGACATCCAGGTGATCTTGTCCAGGCAGGTGAGGGAATCTCAGGATGGCGGAGTCGTTGTTAACGTTCATCGCATACACGGTGACGCTTCCGGGGTTGTAATGGTACAGACTGGAGGTGAAAGAAATTGTTTGAGGAAATACTGGAATTCTTTTTTGGTCCAATAAACGATCATATCATTCTTCACTGGATGCCCTGGAGAACTATGCTGTGGGGCCAAAACAGAGTTTACCTTCTCCCATCCCGGTCTAATATCGAAACTCAGCGGATGCCAAGACATGGTTTTAATGGTTACCATGACCATTAAGGTATCAGTGTATATCGTATTTATAATTCACATTTTTGCGACGGAAACTTTGAATATTTTAGCGTTGTTCAAATTTTAAATGACGGGTCCTTGACAAAAACAATATTTGTGAGCGAGTTCAAAATCAACGTCGCATCAGCTGAAAATATAAAACATATGATTCCATACATATAGATGATTTGTAATAGAATATACACTGTGGATGTATGTAAATATATGCGATAAAACCCTTTTCATATTCATCAAATTTATGCAAAACGTTGAGACAATTAAAACAACTTCTGAGCAAGAGTCGTATGAAGCTCTTTGAAATCTTAGTAGAAGGTGCATGCATTGTACCTACAAAATTGTGAAATGTAAACACAAAAGGGCGTATTTGCCGGAATTATGTGAAAGCTTACTACTGGAAAGTTTAAGTCCCCCTTCTTGTCACACGGTCTTTTGGAAAGTGTTTTGGCACTCTGAATATTTATGCACATGTCTAAATATGAAACAGATGATGCGGACTCTCTGGTCTCCTTTATTTCTAGTTCAGGTGGGTAAATCAGTGGAAGGAAATTGTCTTCTTGTTGTATTTTGAACGACATACCGGAAGCTTAAGTTAAACATCTTGGCCAAATTGACTTGACTTTGACAATATGAACAGAAATTCCGACACACATGAATAAGGAAACAGATCAGCAAGAAGGGGAGCACATATACGCGCATGGGGATGCCTACATCTTGCCTAAATATTTCACGTAGATGTTATCAGTGACGAACTCTAGCATTTCACATATTGTTCCTTCAGTAAACATCAGATCGCATTTGCTTTTATTTTCATACATTGACCTGAACCCCTGAAGATAACTGTTTCTTTGGTCACCACGTTTTGTTATGAAAATCCCGTTGATCGAGGATGACATTTGTTTTCATTTCTGACAAATCGCCCGACATTAGACGTGTAACTGTTTCTATGGTCACCACGTTTTGTTATGAAAGTCCCGTTGATCAAGGATGACATTTGTTTTCATTTCTGACAAATCGCCCGACATTAGACGTGTAACTGTTTCTATGGTCACCACGTTTTGTTATGAAAGTCCCGTTGATCAAGGATGACATTTGTTTTCATTTCTGACAAATCGCCCGACATTAGACGTGTAACTGTTTCTATGGTCACCACGTTTTGTTCTAAAAGTCCCGCTGATCAAGGATGACATTTGTTTTCATTTCTGACAAATCGCCCGACATTAGACATGTAACTGTTTCTATGGTCACCACGTTTTGTTATAAAAGTCCCGTTGATCAAGGATGACGTTTGTTTTCATTTCTGACAAATCGCCCGACATTAGACATGTAACTGTTTCTATGGTCACCACGTTTTGTTATAAAAGTCCCGCTGATCAAGGATGACATTTGTTTTCATTTCTGACAAATCGCCCGACATTAGACGTGTAACTGTATCTATGGTCACCATGTTTTGTTCTAAAAGTCCCGTTGATCAAGGATGACATTTGTTTTCATTTCTGACAAATCGCCCGACATTAGACATGAAACTGTTTCTATGGTCACCATGTTTTGTTCTAAAAGTCCCGTTGATCAAGGATGACGTTTGTTTTCATTTCTGACAAATCGCCCGACATTAGACATGTAACTGTTTCTATGGTCACCATGTTTAGAAACAAATGCCCCATGAATCAGGGAGGTTTTCCCTTACGTTTGTCATGTCGGGGAGTGGTGGACAAAGTTGAAAAAATCAAACGACAGAACTGAACGTCGTCCTTTTCTGTGAATGTAAAAAGTGAAGAAAACCCTTTGAGTTTTTGAGAATCGTATTATTTCCACTTGTGTCAAATTCGAAATATGAAATATCCACCTACTTTTGGAGCTTAGTGCAGTGAGCATACACTCGGACAAACTTGGAAGGAGATGTGACGTCAAACACTTTATTTCCAACCAGACGCTTGTAGAGCAGAGTTAGCCAGTAATCCTGAATGAACAGGTTTAATGCATGAGGCTCAATGAAAAACAAGTTAGGTACACTTGAAACAGCTTATTGGAACAATTCTTGTATGGTTTTGAGTTCAACGAACTGATTCAGCTTGTACTAGGCTAATGGCAGTTTAATTGTGCCAGTCCACTGGGTTGGATGACTCACACAGACTCCGAAAGAGTTGATAAGAAAGGCAATTCAAACGTAAGTATGTACTTCTGGTAAATTCTTCTCTATGCAAATGTCTAGAACGGCCCCCGTCACGCTATATTAATAGGAAACGACACTGCAGCCCATTGTCTATCTTGTCCGTGAAATCCATTACGATCTCGGCTGCTGCCTTCGAATGCAACGGTACTAGAGACACATTTCCCCCTTCAAGGACTTCCTGACGTCACAAAATAAAATAATGTTACAAGCATTCCTTTCTTGTGGTACGAGGCGGCCCTATTGAACTGAGTGGTGACTTGAAAGATTGCTTGTCATCGTACCAACGTCGGTTTGGGACCTGACGCATATTACCAATGATTGGTTAGTTACAGGCCGCCGTATAGCTGGAATATTGCTGGATGTGGCGTTCAGCAACTTGGAAAGAATACTTACAGGATTTGGGTCCATATCAGACTGGAGTACTCCATAGTTGCCGCCATAAAGGGACTGTCTCAACACACCTTTGATACCATACCTGGCACACACGCCAAGCTTGTCCATCCATCTAGAACGGAACAAAACTGCGGCATTACATACTTCTGTTGAATGTACATGAATGATGACAAAGAATGTTCATTAATGCCCATGTTGATTCTGGTGACATTTCCCAAATCTCATTACAGTCCGATATTTTTACATGGACAGAATACCACTATGCCTGAAGATCTGATGACAACTCTATAAGCCCAAGCGAAATGACTGATATCTGGCTTCTTGATTGGTTGGTTGGTTGGTTGGTTGGTTGTTTAACGCCGCACTCGACAATATTCCAGCTATATGACGGCGGTCTGAAAATAATCGAGTCTTGAACAGACAATCCAGTGATTGATATCATGAGCATCGATCCACGCAATTGGGATCAATGACATGCATCAACCAAGTCAGCGAGCCTGACCACCCGATCCCGAAAGTCGCCTTTTACGACAAGCATAGTCGCCTTTTACGGCAAGCATGGGTTGCTGAATACCTATTCTACCCCGGAATATTATGGCTTCTTGAACCAACAAGTCAGCTTTCTACAACGCTTCGGCTTAATGTTGGGGTTTTTTCACCTCGATTCGGAAATTTCGATCTTAGAAGAAGACATTGTATCGGATTAAAATATATGATTTGAATGAGATTGGACTTAATGCATGGGGTGGAAACATGGACTTACTATTAATACAACCGAAACACGACTTTCCATAATCACAAGAAATCTTGGCTAAAGTCCATTGTACGATTCCGAATATGTCAAAAGGAATGTGTACGAATCACTATGAAACAGTGATGAAACCAGATGTTCACGAGACCCGTGAAGATCCGGGGTAGAAAAGGTCTTCAGCAACCCATGCTTGCCATAAATGGCGACTATACGTGTCGTTAGAGGCGACTAACGGGATCGGGTGGTCAGGCTCGCTGACTTTGTTGATGCATGTCATCGATCCCCATTTCGTGGATCGATGCTCACGATATCAACCACTGGATTGTCTTGTCCAGACTCGATTATTTACAGACCGCCGTCATATAGCTGGAATATTGCTGAGTGCGGCGTTAAACAACAAACAAACCAAGATGTTCACGAAAAGGTGAGCGTATCCTGCCTCACCGGTGGCACACGTCACACATATATAGGCAAATTATGCACAAAACGGATTCAAAGCAATTTTTGTTTGTCAATCCGCGGAATGTTTTGTTTTATAAACGTGGTTATATCTAAGGTCAAGTGACTGTATGCATTTTCAAAATTATCTTTGCAAACTATCCCCGAGATACCTTTTGATCTTAATCCTAAAATGACTTTGTCTTTATTACAACAAAAACATGAGCCCCCCCCAAACCTAAGCATGTCATATGAGGCAATTTAAAGGATCGGGTAGCCAGGCTCTTGGGTGGCCAGGTGACATGACCGAAAGCGCGGATCTTTGCCCATAATATCAATCACTGGTTGTCTATATTCATAGCTGGAGTGTTTATGAGTACGGCGTTAAGCAACAAACAAACATGAAATACATGTATGCTTAAAAATTCTTCAAGAAAATATGTTCTTACAAGAAGCCAGCTGCATAAGCATCCGAGAGATGCAAGGCACCTCCTGACCACCCAGTGGATGTTTCTCCTAGCCACAGTGGCCTGACAGGCTGATAGTCGTCGATGAGGTGTACAGCATGGATCATTCTGGAAGCCAGCTTGTTCAGCCACCACAGGGACACGAAGGAACCCTCATGTGCAGTATGGCCGTTGAAATAATAGCTAGTGACAGAATGATGCACAAATGATTTAACTTTTGACAGGGAGTTTGATAATGTATGGTATTATCGGCAGTTATCGATAATAGTGAGTGAGTGAGTTGGGTTTAACGCCGCTTTTAACAGTATTCCAGTTATATCACGGCGTAGCAGCTTAATGTGGGAGGAAATTCCGAAGTGATGCAGGTCTCAGATGTTTACAACTTCGGTGAAAACCACGAGCACGGGTATGGTGCTGACAAACCTAGAAACATAATCGGGGCGAACCGGGATTCGAACCCACAATCATAGGATTCTGGCGTGCCCAAGGGACGTAACTCTGTGCAGCGAATCGCGGCGCCTTAGATAACTGGGCCACCCGTCCCCCCGTTTTCGATAATGAATTATGTGTTTCGTCGCTAATAGTAAGATGCGATATTTGCACAAATTATTTAGTAATCGTAGAAAAATATATTTATGTTGTAAAATAGTGTCACCGTCATTTAAGACATTTCAAATGAAACTACCGCTGTCATGTATTGTTTGGATGTGTAAATATCAGATACTTCTGTCAACCTACTGGTGAATGGTGACAACATCCACGGCTGATGCTCCACCATGACTGAGGAACCTATAAAAATATAGCATTTATTTATTATTTAATTGTTTATTGCTTCAAAGGCCGGTTTTGCCCATTGAACAAATCATATCATTTTGCCAAAGAATATTAACTTGAAAGCATGAAATTCAAAAGTTGAAACATTGTATCAGATAGTTGGGTGTTTGGTATAGATTATAAAACCAAGGATAAACAATTTTTTTACTTAAGTTAAAAATAGTCATACATACTGGTATATTCAACATGATCATAAGCAAATGTGGGACAGTGTTTATTTATGATCTTCCGGCAAAATGCTGCAGTGATGTTGAAGTTGATAGCTGTTCATGCTACCAATCTATACCACTCCAAATTGCTAAGGATCACCAATTAAAAGGTAAAACGTCAAATTGTATGTAAACTGACGTCCAAAAGAAACTTTACCAACTGAAAATATAAATTTCAGACAAAGTATAATTTTTTTTTCGATTAAGTCTAATAGTATCTAAAACACATAACCTAAATACAACAATAGTGTATGCAGAAAATGTTCATCGTCTGTTACATGTTAGCGAGATGACACGCGAAAAAGTGAAAAACACGTGCACCACGACAACTGCAAATGCACGTGCGGGTAAGGGTATAAAACGATTGCAACCGTTACGGCAAGTCAGACATCCACAGTGATAAAAAAAACACAAAAGAAATGCCACGACTCACAGTCGAACAACGTGAACGAGCCTTGGGTATGGTACAGATGGGAGCCACCCACGCCCATATTGTACGAACCTTCGGTTGCTCCCGTGTTGCCGTTACCAACTTGATGCAACGTTACAGACAGACAGGGCCCACCACTGACAGGCCAAGAACAGGCAGACCAAGGGTGACCACGCCCCATGATGACCGGAACTTGCGTACCTTGCACCTCCGAAATCACTTCCTGACATTGACGTCATCGGCGACAAATGCCTTAGGTCACAGGATTAGCCGACAGACAGTGGCCAGGAGACTCAGGGCTCATGGGATCAGGGCTTTTAGACCATACAGGACAGCTATTGACAGCGCAACATCGTCGTCTGCGATTTAGATGGGCCCGGACTGTACGACTTTGGCAACAACGTGACTGGCAGTGGGCTGTCTTCACTGACGAAAGTCGATTCTGTACGTTTAGGGCTGTACGTCATCAGACGACTGACTTTTTCTGTGCGTCGAAGAGTTTTTGCGTGTATTGAGGCATTTGGTGGTCACACACGCTACTAATGACTTGTTATTGAACGTGAGCAATTGTTTATGTACTCTGCCTATTGTCCATGATTCTGAAAGCTCGAGTTTTGTACCACACCCAACTTTGGGGGGCTCTGACGTCATTCTCGGTCGCGGTATGATTGTCATTTTCAGTGTTGATTATGTTGATATATTGATCTTCTCAATACACTTTACTTCATGCATGTATGTTTTGCTGTTTTTGAGCAAGAGTGATTTCAAACTCTGGTAAAGTTTCTTTTGGACGTCAGTTTATCTGTTAAAATAGCCAAAGACAATATTGCGTGAAGACTTGTTTAATGAACAAAAGTCTGTTGTCATGTGCCACCCAATGCCAACAAACAACATGTGACCAATAACGACTCGGATCACCCGTCAAAATGAGAGTCTAGATGAATTATTAATTATAGTTTCAAATTTATATCAAAACAATAATTCCATTCTATCGTGACCTAGCTAAGGGCACACTCAAAGCAACTCACGTGCTACTCACGGTAAGATTCTAACAGATCAAGCTTCGATTCGGATCAAAGATCAGAGGATCCTTGCACGACAAAGGGAAGTAAATCTCAACATCGACTTACTTAGATCAAGTTCCATATATATATATATATACTTTTCATTTCATCCACTACAAACAAACAAGTAAATAACATTTCTAGTATCACAAGTCATATTTTGTTTTACTGTAAACTTAGTGTCCTTTGTAATTTGGACTGAACAGCCTTTAATTATATTGCTGCAAGTTAGGCAACGTTTGTCACCGCACTCAGAAACCTGTGGAGGGATGACAACAGAATCAAACATATATACAGGTATATATATATATATATTGTGGTACTACTGTACCGCCATCTACAAAGAGTGAGTGAGTGAGTTGGTTATAACGCCGCTTTGAACAGTATTCCAGTCATATCACGGCCTGTCAGCTTTATGTGGGAGGAAAGCCTGAAGTGATGCAGGTCTCAGACGTTTAACTGTTTGGTGATACCCACGAGCACACCCACAAAGAAGATTTATTCTAACGAAACCTTGTCTTGTGTTTATTGAACATACTCCCGCATGAGTGGGTCTCTGTATCCATCCAACGGAGTCATGTCTGGTCCAAGAAGGAGACTGGATTTATATGGGGATTTTTCTAGGATCTGTCTGAGTACTGTGAAATCGGCGCCCATCATTGCTCCCGTGATATTTTGCCGTCCATTCCGTACATACAGGTCCGGCTCTGTTGAAGGAGGGCGCAGGATATAGAGAATGTCACCCGATTGCATTTTGACATCAAATATATCAACACGAGTTGATAAAAGTGGGAAAACTCCGAGGCTTGCCGAGGATTTTTTTTCCACTTTTATCAACGAGTGTTGATATATTTGATATCAAAAGACACGAGGGTGAGATTTTATTTATCATCCAACATCATTCTTCCAACTTTTTCAGTTTGTAGAAAGTAATAAAAAGTACTGCTATCAGCTTCAGTAGCAGAGCCATTAGTGATGTCATTTAATTGTGACGTCATGGTAACCAATGGCGTCACAATGGTCTGCAAAGCATTGTGATGCAATTTCATTGCCGCGATATCTACAGTATAGATATTGCTTGATCTCACCCAAGCGATATCTCCTGTGGGAGCCAGTTTTGGATGATAAATGTACATTGTAAACAACACATTGCGATCAAACATATTACAGGCACCAATCTGTAACATCTTAAGAGGCATCATGTAAACAATAATTGCGCATATTATTGCGAATGGACGTTAAGAACTGTGCATGCATGAATATTGCAGCATTTCATGTTACTGCCTAAGTTTTAATCCACTATGCAATTCGGCATATTACATGTTATGAACTGCTGAGCTGCGGAAGATCGGGGGCTCGATCCCCGGCCGCGTCATACCAAAACACGTTAAATGAAGGTATTTGTTGTTACCTTGCCTGGCGATAGGAATTATGGGGCTAAAACAAGGACTGGTTAGATTGGAGTCAGTATACAGTGTCTGAGTTGGCTATTCATGTTAAACTGCGGCAAGTACCATCTTTTAACGTCTTTTGGTATGACGCGGCCGGGGATCGAACCCCGGACCTTCCGTTCTCCGGACGGACGCTCTACCACTAGACCACGGAGGCGGTCTATATATTTGAATAACCGGGCGTTGTCATGGATACACAATGAAAAAATATATCGCGATATGTTAATTTAACTTTTTCAAATTTGAGCATGTATGAAACTTCAGGGCATCGAATACTACATAGCGTCGACAAATCTTAAAACGTCTATCTTCCAGCTGGATATCTAGTTACATTACCTTCAGTATCGGAAGCCAACTAACTGAATACACAGCGTACTTTAACATTAGACATATAAAGTCATACCATTTCCAAGCTCCCAGCCAGCGATGTCGTAATGCTTCTGAGACGAATAGTTCATCAACAATTCTGCATTCGTAGGATCCCACACATCATTTTTCCGTTGAAAAGCATTGAAGGCAAATATCAACTTCAATCCAGCATTATGTATAAATTCGTTGAGCTCGTCCCACCGTGTCGCTATAAAATATCATATGCAATAAATAGAGTCACAAAAGGAGCAGCTGTAGATATTTGCAATACTTAGTAATACTTTGAACACAGATTCACCAAATTCAGATGACATATTGGTCAAATACGTCATTGTTCTTATCAAACTGCATTACATTAGTGGACTGAGACATTATAACTGACCCAAAGTGTTTCAATTCCAACATCTTTCTTAATCGTTTTTTTTCGTTACTACATCTCTGTACTTCTACACAGACGAATCCAAAATATACGTTTCGTTTTACGTTTCATCAAAATCAGTAAATGTACTATTGTTGGATGGACTTCTGGTTCATTACTTGGAAGAAGTACTGCTATGCGTTGTCAAGCAACAAACACATGCCATTTCATTCAAATTGTGTTGGTGGCGGGTGCTGCATGTAGGCCAAGACCTGCTTACCCTTTTCGCAAACACCTGTTATTACTGATTTTCAGTGATTCATTGACATACTTTTCACCGCCATGTTGCCCTTTACGCCCATTGCAATCTGTTTTGTCGGATAATCGAGACTGGTATTTCTCTGGCGTTGACGTTTTATAATCAACGCCGATTTTTAGCAATAGTCCTGCCTTATTACGACGGGGATACCAAGCATCGCCTTCAGAGAGCGTGCCTATATGGAGAAGCAGTAATTTAACGACCATGTTGCTACCCAACTGCCCTGTGTTATCGTATTGGCCCGTTGAGAAGAGTATATCCCCAGCCACAGGTGACTGCTGTAAGATGCGATAAAATGTATCTGGTGGTCGGCCTCCATGTCGTAATTGCGTACAATTGTCACTCAACGGCGTGGGATGTTGCTCATAATATCAACCACTGGTTTTTTCTGTTCCTGCCTTGAATTATTTATAAGACCACCGTCACATACCTAGAGTGAGTGAGTGAGTATGGTTTTACGCCGCTTTTAGCAATATTCCAGCAATATCACGGCGGGGGACACCAGAAATGGGATTCACACATTGTACCCATGTCGAGAATCGAACTCGGGTCTTCGGCGTGACGAGCGAACGCTTTAACCACTAGGCTACCCGACCGCCCCTCACATAGCCTGAATATTGCTGAGCAACAAACAAACGGTAACGCATATGCAATGTTAGGTAATTGGGCAAAACGGTCGTGCCTTTCAATGCACTTACCTGTGAGTTTGAATGGGTGCCCAGCTGGAGGTATGTGCGCTACTGGACCAGCATGGGGGTCAAACACCAGGTCATCCCCCATGGATCCCCCCACTCGAATATAGCTGGGAGCCACTGCTTTCATCAGGTTCAAGGCTTTCGGGGAGCTGGATGATCAATAAGGATATAGCAGGAAGCCAATTCGATAAAAAAAACTGATGATAAAAACACTTGTATAGAACAGGGAGCCTTTGCTTTCGTCTAGTTCAAGACTTTCGGGGAGCTGATGACAAAAAACACTTTTATAGAACAGGGAACCTTTGCTTTCGTCTAGTTCAAGACTTTCGGGGAGCTGATGATACAAACAATTTTATATAACAGCGAGACATATCTTTTATCGAGCTTTCTGGGACCTAACGATCGATAAGGATATATCAGAAAGTCATTGCTTTCTTCGAGTGCAAAGCTTTAGGAAACAGTTGATAAATAAATATATTACAAAACAGGGAGCCATGATTGTCTTAATCAGGTTTAAGGTGCTGATGAAAAAAAAAATACACCATTAGAGGGAGCCACTTGTTTTATCAGATTCAAGGCTTCGGGGAGCTGTTGATCTGTAAAAATCTAACAGGGAGCCATGGTTTTCTTCAGGTTCAAGGCTTTCGGTAAAGCGGTTAAACGCTGCTTACTTTTATATACTGTTTAAAGAATTTCAGTTCCATCATGGCACCTCCGCTTAATGTGGGAGAAATACCTACGCCTGTCACATATGTAGACGTTGAACACTGTGTTCGTGTGATTCCTTTTTAATGCCACACTCAGCAATAATCTTAACAGGGAGCCACTGCCTTCATGTGGTTCGAATTTTTCAGGGAACTGGAAGATCAACAAGCATACAGAAGGAAGCCAATGTTTTCATCGAAATCAAGACTTTCGGGGAGCTGATGACCAGTGATAAAAAAATGTGATATAACAGGGAGACATTGCTTTCATCGAGTTCAAGCGGCCAGTAAATAGTTACGTCTAGACCAGACAATCCAGTGAATGGCATCATCAGCATCGATCCACGCAATAGGAATACGATGACATGCAATCAACCACATCACCTAGCCTTACCAACTGATCCAATTAGACGTCTCTCACGACAAACGTAGGTTACTAGGGACCTGTATTCCTACCCGGAATGCCCACGTGTAGAGTGAGTGAGTGAGTGGGGTTTAACGCCGCTTTTAACAGTATTCCAGTTATATCATGGCGTGTCAGCTTAATGTGGGGGGAAAGCTCGAAGTGATGCAGGTCTCAGACGTTTACCACTTCGGTGAAACCCACGAGGACGGGTATGGTGCTGACAAACCTAGAAACATAATCGGGGCGAACCGGGATTCGAACCCACAATCATAGGTTTCTGGCGTGTCCAGGGGACGCAACTCTGCACAGCGAATCGCGGCGCCTTAGATGACTTGGCCACCCGTGCCCCCTCCCACGAGTAGAAATTAAGAAGCGTGTTATGGTGGTAAAAGACCACGGCCCTATAGGTGTCAATTCCAGGTAAGAATAGGTCCCCACATACCTTTACTTCTCGTTCGAGGCATCTGAATGGATCGTCAGACTCAGCGACACACTGAATGTTTGTCGCACCAGGACGGTGCTCATGATATCAATCACTCGTTTATCTGGCCCAGATATGAATATTCACAATAATCCAACTGAATCTCAGAGTGGATCCTTGCTAGTGGATGGTTAACTCAGCAGAGACGAGGAAAACGATGTCATTTTGGTAATGAAAAACAAGCAGGTGTGAGATCAAGAATTAACGCTTACCTGAAGTTAAATCGGCCCCATCCAACCCGCAGTAAGTATGTGTCCAATGTGAACCCCACAAACATATCACCGATTTCTTGTACGACCTTGTTCGTCTTCACCAAAATGTTTTCTGTCGATAAAGAACATGATGTTGATGGCATCAATATCATAAGGAAAAAACGTGCAAGTGGTATTTTCACCATTGTACCGAGTGGTTGGCACCAGAACTAGATCCTGTGTCAACCTTATATATGTCGTTAGTAATCTTATCACAATTCAGGAGTGTAGCTGCTATAACTGTATATAGATATTTAGGTTAGATAACCCCTATGTATGTGGGTTATTGTTAAAAATACAAACTATTCATCATCAATGAGCATGGACAAATATAGCAACGACCTTGAACATTTTGAATATGGAATGGATGCTGTGACATTCGCTGTTGGAAGGCTGTACCATAGCAGCTATATAAGAAAACCTATTTAAGACCACTACTCGGTCATATTTGTTCAAAATGTAACGAGAGTTGGTATATATGTAGGTATATATGTAGTTCCTTTGAAATACCGGGTTCGTAAGGCCCCTAGCAACCTACAACGTATGCTGGCCGTACACAGTATGTGGTAATTAATGATTTGACGCGTTGTGTCTAATAACATTATGTTAATAACCTCGTTCCAGCATTGCTGAGTGCGGTGTTATAAGGGTAACGCTAATTTTCAGGGCATTATCATTTGCAGAAGCCTGAGGTCTTCCATTAACTGCGACAGTGGTAATTCACACCAAACCTCAAAGCATCGCTATTTACATGGGGCTGTTTAGAACTGTTGCTGACTTCAAGGCAGGCATTCTGATTGAAACAGTACAAGTTTAGTTTCCCGGTCCGGCAATTTCAGTGAAGATTTTTATAAAGCTAAAAATACCTTTGGAATGCATTCAAGGTCAGAAAAGGGGTAAATATGCGTTCAGCCCCACCAATAACTGTTGTTGCTCGTTATAGCTAAAATGGATAGAATTATCATTAACCGCCCGCATGTTATCAGAAATCAGCGTGCCTCATATTGCTTGACGACGGGGGAATATCACGCCCGTTATTAGGTGACGTCATAGGATAGGGATTGGTGACGTCATGTTCAATAGTGACGTCATCTGGTTTGTTCTATGACGTTTCCATATTTGTAAATGTCAGTGACATTCCATTCGTGACCAACTAGTGTTATTCCGGGACAAGCCGAATAGCGACTCGTGCCCCTCTCGTGGCCATTTTTGCGACTGGGTTCCGTCTGAGCGCAAACGGGCAAAGCTAAAATAATTGTCAACTTGTGGGACTACTTCCAACATGGCTGCCGATATAACGCCGATCCATTCGACGCCGATCAAAACACAAAGTAAGCTGTGTTTGGCGGGATGTACAAACCCATATAGACTGTTCCAACTGAGTGGTCGGAAGATAAGTGGCAAACAAACAGTCATAGATCGTTTGGAAGACTTTTTCAGTGTAGATTTGTATGAGAAAGACCAACCTTATTTGTTTCTGTGTACGACTTGTTTTACAAAGATAAACAATTATCATGAATTTAGATCAGCTGCTTCGCAACATGCTATACATATATTGTCTACACTACAACGTGTTAAAAGACAAGCCCGAACGCCAGCTGGGGCATCTAGGAAAAAAGTACACGTTAGTGAGGACACCAGAGACGATAGATCTAGCACAGACCCATCTGACACAGTACTAAAACCAAAGGTAAAAGCCAAGAGGAAGTTACTCCCAACTAAACCAAGGCGAAGGACAGTGGCTGAAGTTATAGCTGAGTCTGTCAGTGCTATTACTGGTGCAGGAACACGTCAGGACACATCACTGGACTCCCGTAGACCTACAGAAGAGTGTCAAGTTGAACACACGTACTGTAAGCCTTTGATATCAGCCCAGCCCGGCGCAAATAAAGAGGAGCAGCAGTCTTCTGCAGTTAAACTTTTGGAAGTACCTGTCACACTTGATGGTGATACCAAAGCCCTCACTGGACAAATTAGAATCATGTGTTCCCCAGGCAAGAGTGTATTATATTATAAGACTCCAGACCACTTGTCAGACACAAATGTGTTTGCTGCTGCTGTCTGTGAACTGAAAGCATATTGTCCGTTGTAATTTCACGTTATCCAGGCAGCTCTAGGTGATAAGATACCTCAAAGTTCAAAGGTTGCAACAATTGCCACAATATATGGCATGATACTGCACTGCAACAATAATAAGGTGTCAGCAGAGCAGAGATTGTTCACAACAGCAGCCATAAAGTATCATGCCGACAACAAAGTATATATGACTAGCTCTTTCTTACAGTTTTCAGTTCATTCCAGTTTGCCAAAGTTTGAAGTAAGTTTCATTGCAGACCAAAGTTGAAAGAATGCATACTCTGATACTAATAAACATGGTCGCATCGCCAGAATATAGTATGTCAACAACTGTTGGTATATTCACCATCTTTTCTTGTGGAAGTTATTTAATGATGTAAAGATGTAATAATTATAATGACAACATTATTATGTGGTTAACATGAATGCATTTACTCTGCACCCATGCATTCTTTCACCTGACAGGTGTGTGAGAATATCGTTTTACAATAATGCACATTTTATTATCAATGATTGTTTTTCACGATTAACTAACACATGGCAACACTTTACTGACAGCATGTTTGACAAAGAATTTATATAAATTATTGGAACAAACATTTGGAGCATGTTCATGATGTTTACAGTGAAATAACTACAGTGTAATGTGACTTTAGCATGTTTCAGCATTTCGGAATTTTGAATACTGACCTTCATGTATTTGTTGTATTTGGTGTGTAAGTTCAGTTACTGTCAAAGCTCTATTGGACATATTATTTTTGGATACAGTTTTAAAATTCAGTTAATGAAAGTACATATATAGGCCTTACACTATTGAAGACGAACTGAGTTGCTTTCCATGTGTGAAGCAGGAATCCTGTGTAATTTGAAGAAAGCATCTGTTGCAATGTAATTTCACTTCTTTTGTCATTTTGGGATCATTTCATGTATAGTTTTCAAATCTTAATCTGACATGAACTGACAACACCAAATATTACATTGTTGTGAAGTTTTGATAGTTAAATATAAATTTGTTTCATGTTTCCTTTTCATTTGTTTTAGCATGATTTTTGCTAGAAAGGAGTGTTTCGCATGTCAAAGTAAGTAAATCAGAATATTTTTGAAACCCCAGTGTTGATATGGTGAATTCATGTGCTAAATTATAGTAGTTACAGGAGTACCTTCATTATAGGAGATTTACATCAAATAAATAGTAAAGTCAAAGTGAAACATAGTAGAAAAAGCTCAACATGATTGTGTGTAATTTGACATTGTTCATATTCTTCCTTTTAATGAATCATTGAATGTCTTCTATAATGTTGCAGCTGTTGTCCTTGCTCAAACAAAGTTCATGTCACTCTATCAGACAAGTCAAAAGATCAGTTGCTGGACAGCTTTGTCAGTCATTGTGAGGAAGATATCATCAGATCTATTTCATCAGGTATGATCAATATGAGACATTTGTACATATGGAACGGGAAAGGGTAGCTTTTGACGAGTAAATGTAATGAGTAGTGACTGGTTAAGTGTTTATATTTCCTCCACAAGTGTGAAAGGTTCACACATTTATTATTTCTTCACAAGTATGATCTGTGCATAACAACAGTGTGTATATTTTTAATATTGAAATTTGATGTAATGAAGCTTTTGAATGGTAGTCTGAAAGATTAATCTTTTGACATCGGTTTGATTCCAGTCAAAGGCAAACACATTGAGAATCCTTATTCATTGCATGTATATGTATTTTGTGATTCAATGTCTTATTCTTGTGTAAAGATTAATATCTGTACTATCATACGTGTTGTTTGTTTTCTAACAACAAAATATATACAATTGATTACTGTAGTGCAAGTAAAAACATTATTACTTTACAAAAGTCAAGTTTTAGTATTGGTAACAATGCAGAGATGGCTTAAGCTTCCTTACTGACAGAAATACTGAATTGTTGACTTTGCAGTTACAGGGATCTGTTCTGAAAATCATTGTAATTTTTTACAAAATGGAAACTATAACATTTGTGTGCTCAAAAATTCATTTAATAGTCCATATATTTTACTGTTATTTTTTTCAATCATGTTTTTTTCTCTTTTACAATTGTTTACTTAATGTTTTTCAGACTCGAGAGCTATGACCACCACTGCAATTTTGGGAGAGAGCAATGTATGACTTGACTTTGTTTTGCAGGAGCTGATGGAAAGATCAATGGGCACAATCTTGATCTGAGGGTCAATACAAATGATATCAGAATGACCAACAAGTCCAAAGTTTACCACTTCTTTGCCTCAGATTTTGTTTTGGACCGTGTTAATGTGATGCATCTTCCAGATAATGCTCCAATTGGAAATACTGACCAGATTGGTCCAGATCATTTTCTCCCAAACCCTGAAGAAATTAAAAAATTCAGAAACTGCCTCAAAATTTTCATTGCAAGGAAATTAGTTCATAACATTAGTGGACTGTCTTGGATGAAAAGCATTCTTCCAGAACATATACCCCATGATCATCAAGAGGAAATGTCAAAGCGATCATCCATATTCATCCTTCCAATAATGTTGAAGAACGAGTCCAAGTACTCAGACTGCATTGGCATCATGGATGGTTATGTGGAATGGATAAACCGTTGGTATGCCAAAGCAGGAAGAGGTAATTTACTTGCTAGCAACATAGCTCACAATAATCAGAAGCTAAGACAGCTACAATCACAGTATGCAAATGTATTTGAAAGAGAAATTAATTACATAGGTGGAATGGATTGAATAATTCATTACTTTTCTCTCTATACAATGTACATCTGCTCCATAACATCTTTTTTGACAACAGCATTAAGGCAGTAGTTTGAAATGAAGCTTTGATAACCATTGTAAATCTTTTTTATTTACCAGTTTATTTTTTTATACAAACCAAGGAAATGACACCCATACTTATGTCGTTGCAGGATCAGAGTTAGAGCATTTGCAAGTCCCTGTTGGGGAGATCAACTAACCAGAGTTTGTCTTCAAGGGGCCAAGGCCCTAAGGGAAGGATGCCACACTCAACAGGAGAGATTTGAGCAACTAGAACCAGTTGTTGTGGAAATGTTTCACACACTACAGGACTTTCTGGAGGTATGGTTATTCATTGTTCATCTGGTTCATTTTCACA